TAGTGCGCGGACTAAAATGTGCTCCGTTTGGTTTTCTAACAGGCGTTTTTTCTCTTTGTTGCATAGTTAAATGACAGAATTGCCCTCCTAAGCCACGTGTTTATCATCGCTAGGTATCCTGCTTCGATTTTGTTGGTTCTTCTTTTAGGGATTTGGATCCTCTCATGAGCCCAAGGAGAGGATCCTCCTGACCAAGACACGTGGGCCGTTGGATTTTCATCCAACGACTATAATTATTATAACTTTAAAGGAACTCCCTGTTTTTCATCCAACGGCCCACGTGTCTTGGTCAGGAGGATCCTCTCCTTGGGCTCAGGAGAGGATCCAAATCCCTTCTTTTAGGGTTTTCTTTGGTTCTACCCTTCGCTTCCACACGTATGTCATCAAAGAGTGAGTCTTCCCGATGTTTCTGTTGTTTTTCACTCCATTTGGTCAAGCAGCTTCCCCATATTTTTAGTTCTCTGCTTTTCCAACCCTTTGGTCTCTCTTACTATCTTCTTTCTTTGTCTCGCTTAGTCTCAAACTGGATAGCTTTGCGGTGAGTTATTCCAATCTCGCATCTGGGACCTTTTTTTTGCAACTGTATGGATTGTGTTTTGTTGAATTTTAAATGTAAGAAACTTTTAATTTTCTGGGTTCAATTTTAAATCAGATTTTGTTATGGGTTGTTATCAACCATTGAATTGGTTTTGGTTTTGGAGTTTTCGTTTGATCGGAGAGATAAAGTGTTTTTTTGGGTGAAACTTTTAATTGGTGAGATTTTTAGTTAGGCTATGTTGTGGGTTTTGGCAAATTTCTAGTGTGTTTATGCATGTGGTTTTTATTATAGACTTGGAAGAAAATGGGATTGAGGGTGAGGGAAAAATGGCAGAGAAAGCATGGAATAGAGATTTGGGATTAGGGATAGGAAACAGATGAAAAGAATATGATAGAGGAATGGATTCAATTCATTTTCACTATTTTTTTAACTAATTTGGGATTTTGTTTGGGTTTGAAGCCATCATTGGCGTTAAGATGTTTATTGTCAGACCGTATGTGTTTTTTGCTAACTTTTATTGGTATTTTTTACGTTATTCTTACGATTTTGTGTTGTGGGGTTTCTAAATTTTATCGTTGCTCCTTTGGGTTTTTTTGTGTGTTGGTTTGTTTGTTTTGCAGGTTGTGTTTGTGCTGGGACAGCATTTTCCACCTTCTGTTTGCTTTGGGATAATTGCGTTTTAAAATTGTTGAGGGTGAGATTTACATAAGGAAACATTCCTTTTTTTTTTTTCGAAATATGTGCATTTAGTTCTCTTTAATTTTAAATTTTAAAAATTGAATCGTTATTTGAGTAAAATGTTTTATTAGTTTATGTTATGTGTTTTGATCAGGAATTTTGTTGGATTTGGAAATTTTGGTTTGATGAGAGAGATGCGGAGTTTTTTTTTGTTTGAATTTTTTATTAGACTGATTTTCAATTGGATTGCATTCTACCTTTTTGCACCATTCTTATGCAAGCAATTCATTGTTTAAAATACAATTTGAAGAGAACTGGGTTGCAGGTTGGATATAAAATGTTAAGATGAGATAAAATCAAGATACCAAGGGTGGAAGAATGATTTAGAATTGGGGGAGGAAAATAGAAGAGTATAAGAGAAGGATAGGGTTTACCTCATTTAGATTTTTTTTTCTTTTTTTTTAATTGATTCAAGACTTGCATATCATTTCTAAATTTCTAACATTTTTTATTTTATTTTTAATTTGACTCTAGTTGATGGAAAACATAACTCTTACTCCTATCAATCAATTGGTCTGTACATAAAAGTAGAAAAATCAAGGTTCGAGTTTGCAGAGTATGAAGACCAAGGTTTCCCGGAACTACTAGTGCATATTCAGGCTTGCATTGCATATTGATTAATAAAACGGTATGAAATTATTTTTTCATTGGTTTAAATAAACCTGATAACAAGAATGATGAACAATGGGGAAAACATTTTTCGTTGTTATCATTTTTCTGTGCCATGGAATAAATTTACCTAAATAAAGTGTTTTTATGAATAATCTCTACTTAAGGTTGCAAATTTTTTCAGCTCAGCAGTATGATGTGTTGACAGGCAGCAGAAGTACACGAATTATGCACTTAAAAAAAAAAAAAAAAAAAATTGTTCCCTGTTTACAGTTCGTTTTCCTTTTTTTTTTTTTTTTTTGGTCTTTTTAATTGTTTCCATCTTGAATACTTTTTGGTATTGAATTTTTCTACAATCATTTTTTTTTTTTTTTTTTTTTTTTTTTTTTTTTTTCTAAATGCTGCTTAAAATAATTTGGAATCCCTTGATATACTTTATGTGTGTAAACTCTTTGTTTGAAATATTGATACTTACTCACGTTATTAAAAATCAAATCTTTGTTGTATTTCGTTTGTTAATTGAATTTTAAAACTTTTCTCATTTTTCGCTTTTCCAGTCTCATCAATCATAAAGCCGTGCAATCGAAGCCTCCACAGCTGATATAGACTATGAAATCCTAGCGTCAAAAATTGAGGCTGGCCGTTATGAAATTACAGACTTTCGTGCTAGCAGAATCAGATGTCAATATAAAGTTGTTCTGCATGAGACTCCGGTTGTCTTTACCACAAAAACGACTTTCAAAAAACTTATAAGTGTGTTTCCACCCATACTTCGACACCAGTTTTTCTTGCAAGAGTATAACACACTCTATCCTCGCCTAAATAGAGCTGATATTCTTACAAGTAATAATAATACATGGGGTGTGCTATCAACACACCTCTTTTTACTTCTCACACACCCTTTATTAATTTATGTCTGTTGATCTTTTTTAATTCATCCGATCCGACGGCCGAAAACCAAAAATGTGTGGGAGAAATAAAAAGGGATGTGTGGATATCACACCCCATAATATATATGTGCATATATTAAGAACCTTTTAACAATGTTCTGTGCAATGTATTTTTACAATCTAACTACACTCTTCGTCAAATTGGAAGATATCATGGGTCGTATAACTGTTGTACAACATTTGGAGCCGAAACAAGTTAATCAAAGAATTGAACCCAAGTGTGACGTGGTGATTCAAAGAATCAGGTAATTCCTTTTATCTACATTACAAAATATTTAAATGTTGTCCAGCAAGTGTATTTTATGAAACGATTGTTTACTGCTAACTACCTCACTTACTGATGGATTGGTTAATACAATTTTTACTTGCCTATTAAAATTATTTTTGGAATTTGCTTTTCCCATAAAGAAGAAGAGCTGACAGTTACGCTGTGGGCAGATGTTGCTCGAAGTTTTGTTTCTTTATCCATTGAAGCATTTGACTTAATTAAAAACTAATCTATTTACTATTACTTTTTTTTTTTATTATATTCAAACATTATTTTATATATACTCTACTAATATTTTCTTAACATGTCACCCAAACGTATTCACTTCTTTTGATCAATTTTTTTTACAGCGGTTCATGTAAAAGCTAACATTTAGTTGAAATTGCTTAGCAACTCTTTTCTTGCATGTATACATACGAATTAAACAATAGTATTAAACTATTTGGTATCACTCTCAGTATTTGTTTTAGAGTTAGATTAATATATTTAACCTGTTTTAGAATTAGAATTATTTGGTATCACTGTCAGTATTTGGTATCACTCTCATTGTTTGTTGTCACTCTCAGTATTTGTTTTAGAATTAGAATTAGATTAATATACTGAGATTATTTAGACAAATCTAGCATTTTCTCAAATCAATTTATATTTGACTTTTAAACTTAGATTAATATATTTAAGCAGTTTTTTAAAATGCAATTTTTCATTAATTTTTCAACACACAGACAAGATATTCACACAAAATCAGTGTAAGTGTGTTTACTTTGTTTAAAAAAAAATATTATATGCTCTTACAATAAACGAAGGGGTATTCTCACAAAATTTATGAACTAATGTTCTGTTTTAACCTCTACAGCTTTTCCAAATGCACAGAACCTCTGAAAATACTGCCACCCTCTACAAAACAGATGTCAAATGCTGTTAAATGCTGTTATCTCATTGTCCTTCTCTATCTTCTTACTTGAAACAACTCTTGCTTATATTGTGTTTTTCTGATCATTCAAAATGTGGTTATCAACTTTCTCCCGTCCAATCTGCAGCACAAAGAAGAATGAATCATGCTTTTGAACATATGTTATTATCGCCATTTTAATAAATATGCATCAAACAGTGTTCCTATTATTTTTTGGTATGTAAATAATTCTCTCTAATCATTAGACTAGACAGTATCATTTTCTAATATTTCGTATGTCAATGTCAATATAAAAAAGAACACAAATCACTAATCACACAACAAAAATAAAAAGAATAAAAGACCCCGTATGCACGAACCCAAATTCGTCCGAATCAACAAAAAATTTAGATAAAAAAACTCACATGAAATTGTTGTAGGATGTAATTGAGTTCAATAGAAATCAATTGGTTGTGGTCTGGAGCCCCATCGTGCACAGATTCGTCTGGAAATTCGCCGAACAAGTCAGAGTGAGTTGCCACGAGAGAGAGAGTTGGAAGAGACAGAGTGCATTGCAAGAAGAGAGATAGAGAAAGAGGTTTCTGAGAGAGAGGGGGAAGGCGAGGTTTCGAGGTTTCTCAAATGGTAGTTCGAAGCAGACCTGAGATGATTTCTGAGAGGAAGGTGATTAGGTGCAAATGGTTTATTCAATTTATTTCTCGTAGAGTGCAAAAAGATAAAATGAAAATGCGAAAACCACTTCTATTTATTTATTTCTGTTACAAAACGATGATTTGTGTTTTAGAGGGTCCAGAAAATCTCCTCTGAAGTACTTCGTACATCATTCCTTTTCAGATTGTTCCTCCTTCCTATATTGAATGTCTTTCAGATCATATAATAATAATTGTACACTTTTTGGCTCCTGTGGTATGCAAGTGGTTGATTATCAACTCAGTGCGTTCCGGATTTGAACTCTTGCCCCTCCCGATAATGTTTGCTCATACTTGATTCAGCATACAATGTAGTTAACCGGATGTTTATTACATGACATCCTTATAAATTTCTGATCCTGAGATGTAGATCTCTGCTACTACAGAAATGTTTGTACAAAATTCTAACAGAAATAGGACCTTCAATTCAAATTTTCTCCGAAGATACAATGCTTATGGCCAAAACAAGATCGTTTAAATGTACGGTAGGAGGATATATTTAGGGTTTATATGGGAAAGAGATTCAAGGCTGGAATAACATCATGTGCCTTGGCCATAGCACATTGTCAGCAGAGAAAAATACAGAGAATTTGAATCCATCCTAATATTTCCAATCTATTGTTACATACCAAGCAGCAACAGAAAGACGGTCCCCATCTGTTTCCAGCACAGCCATTTCACCGTCACCTCTCACAATTGACTTGCTCGACTGCCTTCAGTATCAAGTTCAAGCAACTAATGCTGTTGAATACCCAAACACAGTTGAATATGGCCGGGACGTTATATATGGTTGAAAGGGGGACCCTGAAGGACTTGAAGTTTATTAAGTATGGGAACTAAGTAGATCCTGACCGTCCTTTCCTGCCTTGGAATGTTTCAGGTAATCTGTCTTGTTCAGTTGTACTATCACTCTCTCCACTAGCATGTCGATCCATGATCCTTAGAGGGTGTGCTTCTGTGTTGAATACCCATTCATCCAAAGAGATGAATGATGGAGGCGAGAATAGGAGATAGAGATACTTGAGCGTTTCTGCAAGGAAGAAGCTCTGCATCATATCATCTTTCTCGCCTGTACTCACCTGAGAAAAATTGAATAAAAGACTTCAGCCAAATATTGATGTATTCAAGTATTCAAACATAGACATATTAGGAGAACCTCCCAATTAAACAACTTGGCTACTCATTTTGGAACCACATCAAGATATATGCCACGGCCAACTGATTTAAAACCCAGTCGCAGCACTGTATTCGGTTGATATTTCAATCCTACCGTAAACCCATGATATTTAACACCAAATAATAGCAGACTGTTCTTTGGAGAAGAAAAACAACGTGCATATCTAGTGATCTCTAAGCAGGTTCTTTGTTGACAGTTGAAAGAAAGATGATTACATTAAAGCAAGTCTTCAAGTGTGGAATGCTCTCTATATGGATCAAGATAGGCATGGACCCCTAACAATTTTATATAACCTGACCTGCCCCAAGAATGTCCCTGGTTCCAATAACCTCTCAATAGGGATACGGTGAAGCTAGTTGCTGCCTAAGCTTAAATACTAAAAACGATGACATGTCAGGTGTGGAAACCTCATTCAAACTGACCGGCCTGAGAAATTGCAATCTCAAATTCGAGCATGCAACCCAAAACTTTACACCTAACCTCAGAGTCGATAGCACCCACAGTGCACATATATACACTTAATGCCATGGGAGTGAAGAGTAGCAAGGGGTTCAACTTTAATTTGTTTCTGTACGAGCACAGTGGGGATGCAGTGGGAGGCAACTGAATAAAGTTTTCAAAACGAAAATAATGTTGTCACAAGATGATGAAAATGATTCATCACGTGAGCCATGACTCCAAGTGTGTGCGTGTTTGCGCTATTGTACCTACCTCAAAATTCAAAGAGAAAATAACATAAAAAAACATTTAATAACATGTTCTTACATCTTTCAGCCCACTGTATCCTGAATCTACTCTAGAGTTGTTTTCAAACGCTTGGAAAATATTCCAACCCCATTCTTGGTAAGTTTTGTTCCCAGTGAAACGCCATAGGTAAAACAGTGACTCAATTGTCTCTGGCCTCAAAATGCTCCACGATGTTCCAACAGTCATGTCCTGCATAAATTTTCTGATATCAAGTTATAATTATCTATGACATCTGGAAAGTAAAAGAATGGAAGTATAAAACCTGTCCAGCTGGGAAGAAATAGTTCTCTCCAGCCAATTTTGTACGAGTCCTCTGGTAGAAGTTATAACATGTCCATGCAAGCTACATAAAAAATTAGTTATTCACGAGATTAGCTATTTCATATGTGATAAAATAATCGTTTGACATTTAATGATCCAAACTTGAAGCATAGGCTGAGAAGCTGCGAAACTCTGTTTGCTTACAATCTGAAAGCAGGTTGTCTAGTCTGGGTGGTTAATAGATAGTAGATACTGAAACTTCGGTGTTCAGTGTTTGACTTCATTCCGAAATGGAATCTTTTATTCTAACTCTCAGACAAAAGTAAGACCAATTTCAGTAATGCTTGATGATCCAAATTCCAAGACATAAGAGTGGAGTTTACCAAGGTATGATAATGATGCACACTTACTCTCCTGTTTATGCTGCCAATCTTCGAATCTCCAGTCCACTACTAGAGAACATTTTATCCCCATCTCTGGGCTTCTATAGAAAAATCCCTCCCTAATCCATGAAAAAAGTTTCAGGTTGATTCTGCTATGTACACAGCCTTTCATGGACTTCTTAGTATTAAACTAAATTACTGTTTTGTTTTGTATCTTATCATCTGATCCCAAACCATTACTGTTTTAAAAGAAACATTTCAACTTTAGTACTCAATTTAATCTTTGTGCGAGTCTCAAATATAAGCAATACCTCTTACAATGTTTATGCAAGATAGGGCAAAAACTTATTCTATTAACCGATAAGAACCGTGGAGCACAAGAAAGAGCTTCAGTCTTTAGAACACTGCATTATAGTTTTTAATTCAATATATTTTTGGTTTTTATTTTCAGTTTTTGGGGTGATAGGATGACTATTAATCAGGTGCTTCTCGTGTTCTAAAAATCCCCGCCTACGCGCTAGGTGGTTAGCCACAGCCACGATTAATCCCTAGACGTTTAAAAAATAAGAAAGGGCACCTATACCTGCCTAGGCACTCGCCTAGCCCGTCGAAACTACTTTAGGTCGCGACTCTCACTTAGACAGAAAATAGATAACTTCCATTTTGCATTTTATTTTTTCTACAAATTGTAAGAGACTTTTTGGATACTTGGATGAACACTCATTATATGTTTGTTCCCCATGTATTCAATATGTTCTGGTATTTTATAATCTGTATGTCATTCTATTTTGCAATTTATGAATTCCGATAAAATTATATATTTGTTTATGTATAAGTAAACATTTATTTATATATTGTATAATAAATTTGGCTAAAGGTAAAAAAAAAAAAAAAAAAACAAACCACCTGGGCCTAGACGCCTAGGCTCTAGGCCCCGCATAGATGCTAGGCCTCTGCCCGCCTAGCACCTTTTAGAACCTTGGGTGCTTCGAAGCTTGCATGCATAACAGGCTACACTAAGCCTGCTCTAGCTAAACATGACATCAAATACTTTCTGGTGTGTACCTCTTCAGCAAGGGATAAAAACTTTTCAGCTTCATCAGGGACATAGCCAGAAGATCCTAAAGCTAACATGCCAGGAGCAAAGCAAGCTAACTCATCCATCTGCATACACAAAGGCGACACATCCCTTCAATTTTTTTTCACAATGTATTTGGCAAACAATAATCTGATAATGAACACACTACCTTATCATACAGTGAGTTTCCAGTCTTCTCACATATATATGCAAATGAGGATGGCGTCGTCCTCCGAATCAAGCTTTTCAGACCTTTCATTGACGTCTCCCACATTTCTCTAATTCCAGTATTCATAGGCAAAGATTTTGTCACAACAAATATTCAACTAACTGCCTTAGATTACATTAACAAAGGCCATAACATATCATCATAAGAAATGAGGAAAGAGCAAAGGCAAAAGAGTGACATGCGTCACCATTACTAACGGGAAATGTTGATAACAGGGTGCTGAACTATGTCAATATGATTTATAAAATTACATCATACTGACGTTCTACAGCTTCTCACCTGTAGTTCTTTACTGCTTCAGTTTTGTTCCCTTGTATCCAAGCCTTAAGTAAATATTCATAAAAACTGCATCCAAAAAGACATTCTGCAAATCAATTGGCCAGCCATACATGTGGATATAACATTATCAACCCTCCTAAAGTTTCCAGGTAAATATATTTTTTCAATTAATCAGATAAATAATGGGCTATTGGGTTTCCTTTCAATACGTTGTACATTTCCACTAGTTTCAATATAATTTTTGTTTCTTATCCAAAAATAATAAACGTAGAAGAAGATCAGATATACAAGGCCAATATTATTTATTTAAAGAATTGGATTTTAAATTTCTAATCTACTAACAATTTGTAAACAAGAAACACGAAAAAATTCTAAAAGATCATGACATCTGAAACTGACAAAACCGTCATGGTGTTCTAATATGAAGCTTTTAGCAGACAAAATCCATACTGTGATTTCATATATTTCAGCAAGTAAAATTGTTCAAAATGAACGGTTTTCCCTCGCAACCCAAAACTTCCTTCAATAGCTCGTATTCAGGTTGCTAATAGAAACCTCTATCAATAATCATTCAATTTCAAGTCATAAAGTAGAATATAAATAATAGTCCAAATTATTATATTTAATTCACAACATACAGTTTCAGGACTGCAGGTTGGGGAACTAAGCACTAGCTTGAACTAGAAACATAACTGTGATTGCCTTCCTTTAACATTAATTTTAAGTCATACCTATCATCCATGGCACTAACCAAATACAGATTACAGTGATGTTTAAGTTTCATACCTATCACCCATGGCACCAAATGTAATTTTTGAGTATGAAGTTTCTCCAGTGAGAGGATTGATATATATGGGAAGCAATCCATCAGTGGGGAATATTTTATGAAGCTCTTTGATGACATATTCCACCTGATATCAGCATGCAAACAATTCATAGAGAAAGGGAAGCAAAGATTTATGTCTCGGTCATTTACAATTTCTGTGCAGTCAAAAGAAATTAAACTGAGATGGGAATATTAACAATGATGCCATGGTATTGATAATTCTTTTCATCAGATAGGCACATAGATAACTAATTTCTGAGCTACATTGTTAAAACATTAAATAGCACCTTCTGCTGGTACTTGGGATCTTTCGTCCTTTGAGATAGAGCAATAAATTCAAGCTGCTCTGAACCAGCATCTGCCAGAATACTATTTCCCTAGCAAGAAGAAGTATATAAATTCAAAGAAAGATAATGTATGATGGTGTAAATAGATACTTAACCGATTCCAGTTCGATGCCTACTTCAACATAGCAACATACACTGGTTGCAACCCTTGAACACAGACATCACAATCTACGTAATGCCAAGTGGAGATGTAATAATTCAGAGATTACAGAAGTTCAGGAATTTTTCTCATAAAGAATTCTCTACTGTCCTATAAGAAAGAGAGCATGCTAGAACAGTTAAGGGAATTTACACAGCACATATATAGTCATGAAACACTGGTTGAAACATTTATTTCTTTTTACTAGCCCTTGTAATGAAGAAATGCAGATCAACTTAAAAATATACACCCTCACCCCTAAGAAGATGTACAGCAGATATATCAAACAATGTGTAAAACATGTTTTTCATTATGAAGCATTAGACTGATTTCATATAAAGAATAGTTTTTCACATTAGAACTTATAATAATAGTCTTTTTTTATTGACAGAAAGATATTGCTATGAAGTTTTACAGTTCTAACTTGTCTAACAATTCGTGATAAAAGGAGTAGAGGATAAAAGGAGTAGAGATCACAGGAGAACACAGCTCAACTATAAGCAGTCTAATTAGCAAAGCACACAATCATTGATACCCTCTATCAAATCAATTCATAGTTCAAACTCACAATAGAATCCCCATTTAGCCTGGGAAGAGGCAGCATAATATACAAAGCTGAACTATTACTTGAGCATTCTTTAATCTTGTAAATTTACTCAGTTGTTAATAATCGAAACTACACTTTTAAGATAAATAAATATGAACAACTTGATGGTTTGACTTAAAAAGTAAAAATGTCAAGGGGCAGAACAAAGCCAACGATGGCCAGGGAAGAACAGTGTAAGAACACCCATCACAAACAAAAAGAAGCATGGAACTCACCCCTGTCCACCGAGGGTTCTTGGCATCCCCATACATCAAGTTTATTATGTTATAGGGGATTCCGGAAGGTGTATTCCATGCAGGAAGCAACCTATCTGCAATATCTCTTGCCTTTTCAAGGAAAATGTAGTCATCAGAGAGATCATACGCGCTAAGAAGTCCGCCTATAACTCTATAATCAACAAAAGTAGCCACAATAAGAGTCAGTCACTGGAGATGACCAGGAGAAATGGACTGAAATATTCGGGAATTTGTGAGAAAAGAAATAAGTAACATAGTAATTATGAAAAACACAATTAAACCTTCTAATGCAACCTTATGGTTGTCTCAAAAACACTAGCCTCATAATTCTTGTTGAAATTCAATGAGTTTGCAACCCACCTGCAATTATTTAAGATCAACAGTATTAGTCATCTCAAAACAAACCTAATCCATAAAGTAGAGCCTTAACCAAAATAACTGATACAATATTACAGCTAAGACTAGTTGAGAAAAAAGTAACCAGTCAAGAAAACCATTTGAAATTACAATTGGGTTTTCACAATCTAAATGTGTATTTTTACAGTTACATATTTATGTTACATGTCAGGCATGCATATGGAGAAACTACAATCTATGGCGAAAAAAAGTAAAACCATTAGAAACTCACTCTCTAGCTCTTTGGAATTGCTGGTCAAGACCCATTATATACAATGTATCAAGAGAATCCACTAGAGTGGCACCAAGGCCGCCAAAACTATCAACGGAATTTCTTGTCTGTGGCTGTTTAGAATGAGTGCTAAGTTGTTAGAGTTGCAGTATTCCAATCCACTAATAAGCAAAGCACAAGGGACCCGCAGAATACGCTAGTAAATGTGGTACATGAAGCATTACTAATAAGCATACCTTGAGTTCATCATGACCCCATGCATACATCTCGTAATAAGTCCAGGCATGAATCATAGCATCTTTAACTGCCTTTCTCCGTTCGAAATTGAGGGGATCATCATCTTCCTCAACAATGCTCCAACCTCTTAAATGCTTCTTCACACTCTCTAGCTGCGATTTTCAATTTTCAACCAAATTACGACCCTCAAAAATCACAATGCCGAATTCAAATCAATTCTACGACACTCTTTAACTTCTAGAAGATATTACAACTGCTCTTTACCTGATTCTTTAAAGTTTTGAGATCCTTATTCAACCTCGACACCGCTACCTATCCAAATAAAAACCCAAGAAATCACACATTTTCCATTTTTCACAAAATTACTCGTTAATTCGATTCAAATGTATGCATATTGCTGCATGCATTCTAGTAAATAAAATGATTCCGAAAATAAATTAAACAGTTAGTAAATGAAAAAAGAACCTGGTGGTCTCCGGTGAGCGATTGGAGGGCAGAGAGCAGCCATGTGAGGGCGACGAAGGAGAGGACGATGAGTGGCAACAGCTGCGACCTCTTCAGGTGATACCGCGGGTGAAGATATCTCCACCATCTCCGCCACAACGATTGCGACGGCAGTGATGAGGACGAAGAAGATGATGATTTCTTTCGCATTTTTATTTAATTTTTTAAATAAATAAGAAAGCCAAAAAATACAAAAAAAGAGAGAGAGTGAGATTCGAGGGAGAAATGAGGGAGTTTGATTGGTTGCCAAACTGGGAAAGGAAAGGAACGGAAATGTCTTTGGTTGGATTTTGAAGTGGGAAAAATGGTTGTTGCAGTAGTGAGTCTACGTGGACTGGGCTGATTGTCGTGGGCCTTACCAGACCCTGAACTGGGAAAAGCCGTTTGCGATTGTTTCTGTATAAAACTTTTGTTAATAAGCGTTTTAATTATGACTTATTACTATGATTTAGTGATATTTATTTTCACTTGTTAGTGAGAGGTCTTAGGTTAGATTTTTAACAAAGGTGAATTTGAACCACATTATTGCTAGCTCATTATGAAGCTAAGTCAACCCCTCTCCCTTCAGTGTAGATAATATCGTTTGTTCAAAAATAATAATAATAAGCGTTTTAATTAGAAGCGCTTTAAACAAAGATAATGCTAGGTAATCAACTTTTTAAATTAAATTTGCAAATTATGATATGTGTCACTAATAGAAAATAAACACGTTAATCAAACACATCATATAATTTAGAAAACTTGGTCTAATTAGTTAATCTTCCTAACATTACTTTTATTATAAACACTAGCCACTTGTGTCCTTGTCTAGATGGTTAATCTTCCTAACATTACTCTTATTATAAACACTAGCCTCTTGTGTCCTTGTCCCACGCTAACTTGTGTGGTACATGGCTCGTTTTAGTTTATCTATTATTAAAAATTAATTAATTTATAATTTATTATGATTTAAATGAATTTTTGTTTCTTGGATGATTTATAATAAAAGAATAATAATTCTAAAAAAGAAAGGGGCATTTTAATATGAGCGCCTTGTTTTTCAATTACGTTGATTAAACATATGTTTTTTTTAAAGAATTTGATTAAACATTTTCCTATAGTTTTATAAGAGATACGTTTGATTGTATGATCGTTTGATTATATTGGTATGTTTGATTGCCTATAATATGAGTCCATTTGGTTTTATGGTTATGGTACATTGGATTTCTGGTACATCTTGTTTCTTGGTACCTTTAGAATCTAAGAGCAGCTCCAGTGAAGTCCCTAAATAGGGACAACCACCGTATAAAATAGGAATAAAACGAATCTCCAACAAATTTGAAAGTGAATCCCTAAAGTATAGGTATACACCAGATATATAGGTACTGTATAAAGACATAATCTTGAGTGAAAGACGGGGCCCCAATGTTGATTGAAGCCTTTATGCTATTAATGCTTTTAATTATTTAAAAAAAGGTTAACATAAACAAAAAATGTGCACCTAATTAAATTATCACATAAAATCATAAAAACTTCAAATTTAGGGATTTTACTATAAGGACTCTCCCATTGGAGGCAATATTCATTTAGGGACACAAAGATTCCCTTTTAGTCTTAAGGGCATCTCTAATTGGAGTCCTTATTTAAGGACTCCCAACACCACCTTTGAGTACTTATCTAAAGACTTAAAGAGGATATTTGTGTCCCATAAGGAATATTGTCTCCAATGAGAGAGTTCTTATAGTAGAATCGCTAAATTTGAAAGTTGTTATGATTTTATGTGATAATTTGATTATGTGCATATTTTTTGTTTACTATAAAGACTCTCCCAAGCCCTGAGCAAAACAGAAAGGAGATGGCCACAAACCTAGACTTGGCAGAGGAAGAACGCAAGAAGATTATCACTTGTGTTGCAGCCTACTAGCAGCATATCATCTCCAGATACAACAAAACGGCCAAAATATGGCAATTCCAGTTCGGAGGCTTAGTCCCTAAGAAAAGTTTGCACCCCTGCTCGCAAGGAAGGCTCCAAAACGACGAATCTTGCATTCCGTCATCACTACCTAGACCCTATCCAGCCATATTAAAGCTCGAAGACTCAAATAGATCAACGGACAAAACCTCGCAAGGATTATTTAAGATGTCTTGCAGTTTCTACCTTCTAGCAGAGTTTGATACACTTTTCCTATTTTCGACGAAGATATAAGAAGTCGTTCATAAGCCTGTCTTAACTGCATGCTCACAACAGCTTTCATGCTCTCCAAGTTGAGAGGGTAAACTAATTTTTGAGACATAACTAGGTCTGCTTTCCAATGTGAGAGGGTAAACTAATTCCCCGACACCCATCTAGGTATGCTCTCTGATTGGGAGAGGGTAAACCAATCCCTTTACACCCCGTTAAAGGGTATACAATGCTCACCCGTTGGGAGATGGTAAATTAATGTCCATGCACTAGTCATCCTGATATTAGCCACAATAGTCTTTTTCAAGTCTTAGCCAAATGAAGGATTTAATTTTATGGTAACCAAAGTCTATACCAAAAGAGACGATAAGTGCAGGACCTCTGCCCATGAAGATTTAGATAACTACACATTTTTTATGTGAGTAGTTAGCAATCTTAGTGTTCATGGAAAACTTTACCCACTGCCGACATGATACGCAGTCTACAAGGTTTAATACTGCTGAGCGTTGAACAACCCTTTGGGTAACTACAGTTGATTCCTAAAATGTTGTGATACTTGCTACACAACCTACAGAACTGGTTACATAAAGTGTAAAGTATTCTTTTGAATCATTACCTGTAAAATTCCATGCAGTTGCACACTTATCATATGATTGGTTAATGATTTTCATGTCCTGTAGATCTTTATCATGTTGAGATATAGGTCCCATAACTCAGAAGATCGAAGACTCAAAACACTTAAGCAACACATGGTCAGGGGCAACAGCTCATGATGAACTCAATAGCTCAACGCTCCAAGAAGCCAAACCTCACGACTATAGTGACTCGTGGGATAACCTGCTTTTTTCAAAGCAGTGTGCCTAGCTGATGGTCCATGGCCAAACATTTTGCACGACACTTCAAGCAAGTAGATTCAAGAAAAACAAAGATGAAGTAAAACGAAGAAAACAATTTATTAAATTTCTAGCAAATTGATAAACTTGCACGAATGTCGTCAAAATTTGACACATGCTAAACAAAACAGACTACTCATTAGCAGCTTGGATGACCTTAGGCTATACAGCTCTTCGCACTCAACAGTTTGCTTATCTGACAGTTCATCTTCAACAACTCCAATCTTGGTAGCTTTATCCTTAACCACTTTATCTACTGCAGCTGAGAAATCAAACTCAAGTAGTTCCCTCATTCTTAGCAAGCAGCACAAACATGGTAGCAGCAGAAGAAACAAGCTTTGACACCTCTTTAACAGCTGAATCGACTATTTTAAGTATTAGACTTTCCTCCCCAATCCTCGTAGTGGTGAGCCTTTTAGAAGCCGATCTAGACTTAACCACAGCTGGATACTTCACTCTATCTCCAGACCCGAATGCTGGACAACTCGATGTCAAACTTTCTAGAAGCGGCATAGTCCTACGAGCAACCAAATGATTTCTTCTCAACTAAAGGTCCAATAAGCAGGCTTGGACGTGTGGTTGCCTCTTGCTTACCAGTTTGACCTGTGCTAAGCTTGAAGACAGATGGGCTTGAGCCTTGCGGCTCGCCCAGCTTTGCGCTTCAGTACGCCGTTCCCCTCGGCCCGAACAGAGCTAGCTTCTGGCCCTTGCTAGCCAGCCGTGCTGTGCCAAACCACAATAGCTCCCTCAAGCTGCCCTACATGTACAGTAGGCCCATGGTTGCCCAAGCATCTCATCGGCCCCTGTCGAGCCATTCCATCAAGCCTCGAGACTCGAAAAAGATAAAGAAGAAAGAAAATTAATTTTTTTCTTACTTTGGTATGGCGTCGATAAAAAGAACAATAATGACGATCAACTCTTCACAAGGGCAAACAAAGAAGAAAACTAGGGGATGGATTTACAATATCCTCTAGTTTTTTCTTTCTTTGTTATTGGGATAAAATTGTTCTTCAAATTTATTTAACTCCCTGCTTAAGGTAGGCTTACATAGGCTTTGGTGGCAATTGGTTTCCCTTCCTTAGAGGACTCTATCTCCAAGTCAAAGTGGAAGATCTACATCAATTTGGGAAACATCTATCTGTTCACCTATTCAGCTTGAGATTTCCACACCTAGTGCCATTTTTTGCTTGTAGCCTAGCAGGTTTGGGGGTATTTGTGGAGCAAAAACCCTATCCCTATGGCTAGCTACTCCTTCCTATAAATACCTCCATCTCCACCAAATCTTGGTAAGCTTTTGCTATTCATACAAGTCCTAAACATACTCACTGTTTTCAGAGATACTGACTTAGGCATTAGAGATCCATAGGCCAACCCTTCCCCATCTTGTGGGCGTGTGAGGCTTTGGTAGCTTGAGATCTTGGTTTTTGATATAAGGTGTTAATTATTTTGTAGATATAAATTCGTGAAAATTGACGAGGACAGATTTTTGCTACCACGTCAATCATCTATCAAAGTAAGCTTCTATTATATTATATATACACTGTACACAAAATGGGCACACGATATAGATGACCATTAGGATGTCAATTTGGTGGATATTGAGGAGCTTATATGGCGATGTTTCAGGGTAGTTGCTTGACTTTTTCCATGTTCCTCCACTGAGGTAGTTTGGCTGCATGCATACAAGTCGAAAGGATGGACACGTGGGGTTTCATTGTCAAAGAAACGCATGCGGAGCTGAACGTCATGGTCCTAAATTACTGGTTCAAACGCGAGAAGTTTTGGTGTGAGAAAAACAGAAAAATGGATGGATTGGCAAGAAAAAGAGAAACCAAAAAAAAAAAAAAAAAAAAAAAAAAAAAAAAAAAAAAAAAAACATGAAAAAAAAACTAAACGGGGGCTTGCCATGGGAAAGGGAAGGTTATAATGATGAGGATGGGCTACTCATTAGCGAGTGTAGGGGTCTTGTCCGTCACCGATCCTTCTATCTCCCTTCACCCCCGCCTTCAAAAATGATGAATATGAAGTCCGTGGGGCTGCAGGTACTATGGATCTTCTAACTCCCAATTGGGTTACCCTACCAGGTCTCGTCGGTGTTGCCTATAGGTCGTGATGTGCCTCGAGATGGCCATCTCCTATCCCCCCGCCGGTGGGGAATCTGCTCCCGGGTAGTCGCTCTGCTGCTAGATCCAGCTCACTCCAATTTGTTCTTCCATTTTCGTAAAAAAATTTAAATAATTAAGAGAATGTTCAGTAACCATTTCATTTTCAGAGTTTTCAATTTTTGTTTTCATATTTTTTTTAAATCTAAAATTTTATATAGTAACTATTTTCAATTATTAAAAAATAAAAACATTATTTTTTTTACTTTTCAAAATTTAGTTTTTAAAATTTAGCCTTCCATCAGTTTTTACTTTCTGGTAATCAATTTTTCATTTTTTTTTTAAACTGAATGTATTTACCAAACAAGATTTATTTTTTCAAAAAGTGAAAACTGAAATTGAAATGACTATTAAACGCACAATTAATTATTTTTAGCATCATGTAGTGAAGCATGTTGCTCCTTAATTTCTGAAGTAGAGAAATGTCTTGTTTTTTTTTTTAATAAACAATATTATCTAACTAAAGGGATGGTGTGGGTTAAGCCTCACAATGGACTAGTATGGGGCTAGATTGGGATTGATGTGCCTTTTTTAAACCTGCTTCTGTTGTGCTGCGAGAATAAACAACTGTGAAAAAAAACAGGTAAGTGTTTGGTAAATTACAATGGTGAAAGTGCTTTTAGCTAAAAAACAGTGTTAGAGTGTTTGGTAAACTTTTATATAAAACTGTTATAACTGTGTCAATAACATTAAAGGACATGTTGTTGGATATATTATTAATTAAATTAGGTTGTTAAATTGTTGAACAATTTGTTACATATAATACTTCTTCATCATCATCACCATCGCACCCTATTCACCGAAGTCTCTGGGCTCATCAAAATGCCTATCTCTAAGAACAAGTTTATACAGAAAGATTAAAAGTGGGATTTTGAAAGTAGGCCCAAATTTGGACCTATAAAGAATTCTAAATTTTAGACTGGTTCTGTTTCTATCCTGCTTTCTTTTATATTAGTGGCCTTCTTGAACACTTGAGTATCAAGTTGCTTAAATTAAAGCCATAAACCCAGAATCCTATAAACCCAGAAAACACATGAACCCATGATCCAATTATTTAGCATGATAGAATTGTAGTTTTCTCATGAACCCATAAAGTTTCTATCCTGCTTTCTTTTATATTAGTGGCCTTCTTGACCACTTTAGTGCCAAATTGCTTAATTAAACCCATAAACACAGAATCCTATAAACCCAGAAAACGCATGAACCCATAATCCCATTATTTATTCATACATCGTAGCATGATATAATTGTACTCTTTTCATGAGCCCATAAACCCATAAACCCAAAAACACACATAGCCTTCCAATATCCAGTTCAGGCTTTCAATCTTCCAACAATTTTTTTTTTGTTTTTTTTTAATAAGCAGAAATAGAGGTTGTGAGAAGGAAATTTACTTTAGTTGGTGAAGATTGCTCGAACTAGATGAGAAATGGAGGAGACGTGCTCGAACCAGAGAGTAGAGTTCGACGAGAGGGGAGATAATGATGCTTGGGTTGGAGGAAAATGAAGGCAAATCATAGAGGTACTAGTTCTTTAGCCAAAAGCAAGAATGAAAGTATGTCTCCCTTATATTGGCTTAAATTGGTATCAGAGCTTAGAAAAGATGTATAGATGTGTAAAGGAAATTAGATTTATCAGAATTGACAATTAATAAAAAAAAAAAAAAACAGAAGATATTATAGATCTTAAACAAAGAGAATATTGCAATCTCCATTGTCCAATATCAAGATCAAAACATCAATATTATTTTCATATATCTCATGTACCCCATAATGTAACAATAGATAATTAGATTTTATCCGCACAATTAAATTTTATAAACTGTATAAACCTAAGAATCCTAGAAAAATTGGAAGAAATGAAGTATGGAGAAATAAAAGAATATTTAGAAAAAAAATAATTCATGAGAATAATAGAAACTTAGTTAAGCAGTTAACTCTATTGAGTATATGTGACATGTCAGCAATTGCCACATCAGCATAGTTTTTATGTTAGCTTATTTGATACGCCTAGTAGTTTTAAAGTAGATATATAAGACATTTTCCCTCTTTTTGTAATTCTGATCCATTCAATATTAATAAAATAGATATAAAGTTTTCAAGTCTTCTTCTCCTACAAGCTTCTTCTTATCCTCTTTTCTTCTTCAATTCTCAAAGTCGGTGATTGATGTTCATCTGTTAATATGGTATCAAAGCCTAGTTACATCACTAACTACTAAAACCTAAGAATTCTTTAACATAGCTGCTAGAATGTCATTAGAAGGGTGGCCCAACCTACGATGCCACAATGAAGACTTAACAGTTTTTCCCAATAACGCAGAAGAACAGAAAACACCTTGAGTCAGTAGCTTGGGAAACACATGTACAGGGATCCGAAACAGTTCATTATTGCTACTCTGTCCTCCGTAAAGTATCACCCCTGTGGCCTTATCCTGCACAAAGACGTTTAAAACATCACAGATAAACCAACTGTGGTTATCTTTGCACAACTGTGTTACAGAAAGAAGATTAACGGTCAACATGGGAACCTGTAAAACATTACGAAGATAAAGAGTATTAGTTGGACTTTGAATAGTCACAGTGCCAATATTTTGAACATCCAAACCTGTACCATTCCCAACAATAATCTTCTTATTTCCATTATAAGGAACGAAAAATTCTAATAGATTAATATCAAGACTCATATGAACTGAAGCCCCACTGTCCACTATCCAACACTCACACTCAGAAGCAGATTGTGTAGGTAAATCAGGCACACTTGACGACATAGAAACTCTTAGAATTTCAGAGAACATATTAGACTGTGAAGCCTGAGTCATAAAGGCAGGAGCTAGTGAAAACCTGAAGAATAAGACTGTGTAGAAGTGTTGCCTTGAAGCCCATAAGTAATAGGATATACAGTAGAATGCACAGAAGTAGGATACTGAAAGACAGGGCTTAAATCTTGATAAGCATAATTGGCACTGAGAGAAGGAGGTGGGGGAGCCCCTTGAAAGGAAAAGTTTCCCCTGTGTCTACAGTTAACTGCAATATGACCCCGTTTACCACAAATTTGACACTCCTAAGGTGGTTGAGTATTGCCATTTCGATACAAACAAGTGACTGCAGTATGTCATTTCCTTAAGAAAATCTGACACTCTGGAATAACCTCTTGCCTATTTGATGTATTGCCAGACCAAACATTGCCACTTTTAAAACCATTAAACTTGGGTTTAAAATCACCTAAACCTCGGCCTTTATAGCCTATAGTATTTCCATAAGACCGATTGCCTTGACCACCAAAAGTGTTCCCATTAGGTTGAAAATTATTTCCATGAGGGCGAAAATTATGCCCATTAGAAGTCTGAGAAAAACCAGTAGGTTGTGAGAAACTAGGAAACTGAGAAAACCCAACAGTGGAAGAACCAGGAGCTACAAAACCATATCCATAAGTTTGAGGAAACTGAACTGCAGACCCTGAAGCACTAGAAGCACCAGAAGAACTAGTCATAGGATTAAATGTAGGCAAACCAGCATTACCATACATTGCAGCCATAGTATGAACAAGAGACTGCATCCGAGTTTCAAGATTCTTTTCAGCCCCTAATAATTGTGCCCGAAATTCCTTCAGTGTGATTGGTGTTTCTCTTGCTAGAATTACTATTTGGATCATGTCAAAATCAGTTGGAAGACCGGTCAAAGCCGCTATAACAATATCATTATCTGAGACTTTCTCACCAGCAGCAACAAGTTTATCTTTAATGACCTTCAACCGCAACAAATACTTGTCTACACTATCACCACCTTTCTAAATAGTGTGCAACTCAGCCTTCAGATGATTAATACTAGCACTAGAGATATCCATATATCTATCTTGTAATGTAACCCAAGCCTCATGAGAAGTTTTACAACCAACTACATGCTCCATAGCATCATCACTAAGTGTAGCAATGAGAAGACTTAACAAAGCCATATTGGCCTTAATCCGATCTCTGTAGGCAGTATTAATTTCTTTGGTAATACCTAACTCAGGAGTCAAAACATATTTATGAGGGCAAACAGAATCACCAGTGAAGTGATCAAACAAACCATACCAACAAAGTACAAAACAAAACTGAAAGTTCCATTTGATGAAATTATCATCATTCAGTTTGATAGTCAACATCCTTAAAAGACTCTCTAACTTCACTAATTCAGACATGATTTGGTAGGAAACAGACAATTACAGAAAAGACCTAGATGGAATCAAAATAACCCAGATGAAAAACTTTACAAAAATCTTACAATTGTAAAATTCCTCAATCAAAACTGTTAGATCTTGATGAACACAATGGTTATCGACCTTAATTCATCAAACGACATCGGCCTTCAGAGCAAATTATTATCTATTCAAAATCACTATCATCATCAAATGAAGCAAGTTTGGCATCGGCCTTCATCATTACAAAAATCAAGATTGTAACATACAGGACTATTAACTGATTCCCAAAAAAAATTACCCAGAAAATCAACTTCACCAAATTCTTGAAACAGCGAAGAACAAAGAAAAACCTCGAGAAACGGAGCAGCAGGAATCCGTCCAAGATCAATTGCGCGAGCAAGAAAGGCTCTGAGATACCATATTAACAGATGAACATCAATCACCGACTTTGATTACAAAGCCTTAGCTCTGAATACAAAGCCTTAGCTCATGTAGCCACTGATATTGCTTGGCTCAGGTTGATTTTAAAGGATTTGTGTGTTGTTTTGCCTAATCCTCCTCTGTTATATTCTGACAATCAGTCAGCAATTGCCCTTAGTTTAAATCCAGTGCAACATTCCAGAATTAAACTTTTAGAAACAGATTTTCATTTCATTCGTGAACGTGTCCAACGGGGTGATTTGATAGTTCAATATGTTTCTACCAAAGATCAAGTTGCAGATCTTCTCACTAAAGGATTACATGGTCCTGATTTCCTTCGACATGCTGGCAATCTAAAACTAGGACTTCCCAGTTACGATTGAGGGGGGGGTATTGAGTATATGTGACATGTCAGCAATTGCCACATCAGCATAGTTTTTATGTTATCTTATTTGATACGCCTAGTAGTTTTAAAGTAGATATATAAGACATTTTCCCTCTTTTTGTAATTCTGATCCATTCAATATTAATAAAATAGATATAAAGTTTTCAAGTCTTCTTCTCCTACAAGCTTCTTCTTATCCTCTTTTCTTCTTCAATTCTCAAAGTCGGTGATTGATGTTCATCTGTTAATAAACTCAAATATCAAACAACTTAGAAACTATTAGAAGACAAAAGCATAAAATCTTCCCAGACGTAAGAACGATTGTAAACTTGGATTATTTAAAGAAAGGACAAGATGAATAGAAATTTAGAAAGGTTTAGTAATATACCAACAAGACAGGAATTAGATAATTATATGCATTTACTTTTACTAGAGATTTATTAAAAAGGGTTGAAAATCAAATAATTCAACTACAAAACAGAATAGATAGCATCGAGGGAACACAAAACAAATTACGAAAGACTATAATAGATTATAGTTAAAATGAATAGTGTAAATAATTTTACCATTTACCTATCTTATATAGAATGGTCTGAAAGAAATAGTTTATTGGTTAAAAAAAAAAAAATAGATTCTTAGATCAGCTTTTGCAAACGGAGCAACAAGTTACATCAATTCTAGACCAAATTGAAGAATTTTTAGAAAATCTCAATGGTTAAATACAAAGATAGTAGCTATTTTAATGAGGCAGTAAAAGAAACAAATAACTAAGAACAACCAGGAATAATTTTTAGTCAGCTATCGATTTCGGGATCAACTAATAAAGAAACCTTAAAATTACTTAATAGTACAAATTATTTTCTCTTAGAAATATTACATAAATTAGAATCTATTCACTGGCGGAGCCAAGTTAAGGGCTGCCTTGGGCTATAGCCTAGGTAGCTTGATTTGCTCCCTTAGCTTTAAACTTTGATTATATTGGAACTGGTTGTATTCGTAATTTTCTCCCTTTAATGAATTTCTTTATCAAAAAGAAAAAAAAAATTATGGTAATTTGCATTTGTCTCTTTCATAACCCAAACCCTAGTGCTGACAGGCTTTCTCATGATTTTAACGGAAACAGACACACACAGATATATATATATATATATATATATATATATATATATTTTTACGGTTTAGGGTACTTGTGACATGGCAATGATGTGGTAGATCATTATTATTTTTTAATTGCTGGTGTGGTTGTTATGTCATTGTGGTTAATTGTTGTAATTAGTTAGAGGTCGTTGAAGAAAAATATTATTATTTCGTTTATCAATTAGGTTTGAAAGGGTTCTAGCAAAGACCTGTTTGCTACCTTATTGTTGAAGCAGCCACTTGATTTCAATAATGTCATAGTAAAAAATAGCTAGCAAACACTAAAATAAACTAATTTAATTAAGGACAATCAGGGGAATTAGTTATCACAAAAAATAAGGACAAACTAAAAGAAATAAAGGGTAGGATTCGAGAAAAACTTGTGTGGAGCTCAACGAACCACTGGACAATGTCTAATGGCACTACGACTCAATCAAAATATGACACGTAATAAGATTTATCTATGATTTCTTAGTTACAATTTACCTTTTAAAGCTTTCAAAAGTACATAAAAAGAAAATCTATTATACCACTAGTACAAAAACATACTTGTGCGATGGAGCAAATTGCGTTGCGCAAAGTATGTGTTGCGCAACGGTGACAACAAAACGTCACGCAAAGGCATTTTGTGCAATGGAACTTCACGTGACGAAGACCACCGTCACGCAAAACAGCTTCACTCGACGAAGCTGTTGGGAAAAAAGTGGTAAAAGTCTTGATTTGGCGCCAAAATCTTGTGTGACGCACATGCCCTATTGCATAAACATCCTTTGCGTGACAAAGGTGTGCATTCATCGCGCAAAGCTATTTTGCGTGACGAATGCACACCTTCGTCGCACAAAGTCAACGACTTTGTGGAATAATATAAGATTTTGTGGTATCCACTTGTGTAAATATTTTAAATTGACAATCGAATTAGTTCATTGTATTCATATAGGATCAAGGAGTGTAGATGTAAAAAATCATCAAAATCATAGTTAAAATAATTGTTAAATCATGATTTTTCGTTTATAATCATTGAAAAGTTTTATCTCATTACTTGATCTCTGAATATTTTTTTTTTGCGATTTTTGGCGTATGCGATCTCGAAACATATATAAACAAGTTTGATTGTTGGATCGTTGGAACCAATTTCGCAGAATGTGTATCCCATCAGAACAAAAGATTCACTAACACTTGGAGTTTATTTATACTTTCATTATGTATAAGATTTTGTGGTATCCACTAGTGCAAATATTTTAAATTGAAGATCGTGTTCATTCATTGTATTCATATAGGGTCAAGGAGTGTTGCTGTAAAAATTCATCAAAATCGGAGTTAAAATAATAGTTAAATCATGATTTTTTGTTTATAACTGTCGAAAAGTTTTGTGTGACAACCCATCCCTAATTTTAAGCTTTATAAATTGTAAATTAGTGATTTTACGAAAATGCCCTTAAAGCAAAGATTTTGACTTACGTTGACCATCGGTGAGAGAGACGTAGAACTTATTCTTTTAGCATATCCTTGTAGTACTCATTACTACAAACACATAGGTGAAAGCCGTTTGCGAGTCCGGATTATAAAGTTATGGACGTTTGAAATTGGTTATTTAAAGTTTAGTTATAAATTAATTCAAACTCCCACCATGCGGGAATGGTAACCAATCAGTTTTAAGGAAACAAACTAGTGACCAATCAGAAAATTGAGGAAAGAAGTCAACCAATTAGGAGAGGAGAGAGAGAAGCCTCAACTCTTCCTTCCCGCGAACGTGCACACCAAACCCGACGGTGATTCGGGTTGTTTCCTACCAAATTCCACCATTTTTAGGTGATTTGCATCCGTCCTCCACCTGCAACTTCTTCCTTAACCTCTCATCTTCCATCTCCACCAAAAATCAAGGGTTTTTGAGGCCTAAACCATGAAGAACTCCACCGAAGCACCAGAGGTGCTTGACGTCGATTTTGTCGTTCCGACGAGTTCCACCACCCATCACCACCCTTAATCAACTCCCCTTGGACCTAGGAGTAAGACCCAACCACCAGTGACAGGGGCGTTGGAACACCGAAGAAGTCGAATCCACCAACACCCATTATAAGGTTTCCGATGGGTTTGTGGCGATTTGAGGTTTTTTCCAGTCAAATTGGATTTGGCCACAGGTATAAAACTTTCTCTACTCATTGAGATCTTCATGCCTGTAAAATTTGAGAATTTTTAGAAATAGTTGATTTTTCTGGCGAGTCGGGGCGGCCGACAGCCATGTGCGGTGGCACGTGGGCCGAGGCATCCCTTGACCTTCGTAGGCTAAATTTGATACCTCAATTCCCTATGCAAATTCTGATTGATGAAATCTCATCGTTTGAACATAGTTTTGATAGAGACCGCCACTTGATCCTTATATGAATCGACGATCCAACCGTTGGGTCGTCACCAAACCTTAATTCATTATAGTACTTAATATTTGAGGACCATATGAACTAATGAATCGGGAATCCGATGTATGGATCTTCCCAAATTGGATTTGTAAGTTCGTAAAATAAAACATTGACTGCCACTTGAATTTACAATTGGAGGATATCCAACCATTGGATTGTAATGAAACTTTAGTATAATGTTTTAGAAGCATAATGTGGATCCTTGGAAGTTACAGATTGGAAATTTGAGGTGCAAATCTTCTAGATTGAGTTACAGAGGGTTATGGACCCTGATGCGAGATTTATACGCACACAAATTAAACCCTCTTTTTGTCAATTTGTAGTATAAGTGTAAGTAGGGATCGTTCTGGACCGGGGATTAGGAGGGATTGTTAATCACTTGGATTTGACTCAAAAATGTAAAAACACAATATAAAACACTATACTAGACTCAAAGAATTCAAAAATACTTTAAAACATAAACTAAACAGATTCTAAGCATTAAAGAACAAGAAAGTAAAGGGGGGTTTAGGACTTGACAAAAATTGAAATAACGAAACAAGTTAATAAACTAGACAGAATGTAAATATGAATATGATGAAAGTATGGATGAATGGATGCTAGCCAAGGGGTTCATCTCCACACATGTTACACTTGCATAATAA